TATACATTTCAACATTTTTGTGGTGAAATACGCGTTTCTACGTATTTTGTTTCACTACTGGGCGCTCATGAATATAATTACCACATAATACATATATTGATGTCAACATAGGTTGTACAGGTAAGACATTTTAGGGGTTTGAGTGATTAGTAAACAATGGCTACAGTGTTTACCAGTAAATATACTGTCAATCTTTAAAGTAGTTCCATTTCACTTAGTGAGATTAATTTTCAACATAACGTTTCAAGAAATATTTACGCTCTTATGTGTGTGGAATTTTTGTGGGTTCGGCAGTTGACTGGGTGATGGCAGAATTGGAAACATAATATTCAACTTCAGGGTGGAACTCAGGTTGCTCAGGAGCAAGCTCAGGTTGTAGCTCAAGATTGCCATTACATACCTCTCACAATTGATGAATCATCCATCAGACATATCGGCTTTGCTACCAGAAGTGAGAGAAGTAGTGGAAACCATGGTCGTACTGACAAATTCGGGATCGCCGCTGTCAATGATGTTGGTTATAGTTGTTACATAAGTACTGCATCAAGGTTTGTCCACAATATCCAGATTGGAATCCAAGTGATATGTAACATGTCAGCAAAGTTTGCAGTTGCTGCTGATGCGAGCAGAATTACCAAGGGCTGCCCCACAAATATGGACAGACTTTTGCCAGTCCCTGGGATACTTGCCAGTCATTATTGGGTTACAACCACTTCTTCAATGTTGCCACACTGTTTCTGATCCTTTCCAGGTGACGACCTTCCAACTTCATTTCCTTCTCGCTGAGCCAGAGAAACACCAGTCCCTTATTGTTTATTACAAATGCAGAGGCGGCGGCATAATATGTTACATGGAGGGGCGAGATCTGCTCACCAACCTCATGCCAAAGGCGTGATCTTACTAGGGGTTACGGGGCATGCTCCCCCTTGAGAAATTTGATATCTAGACCCTCTGAAACGCTATTTCCTGCATTTTGAGGGGAAAAGTTTGTGGACACAAAAGGTTTCAGCCCGATTTTGGTGGGGCGACGCTCTCAACATTATTTTCAAGTAGGCGACCGACCTCCCTGTGCTACTGAAATGCCATTGATATTGAATGGCGCAGCGGACTAGAACTCCTTTTGTTCTGAACCATTTCCAGAAAGTGTACTTGGCCTTTTTTAAATGCTATCAACTCAAGTTTATATGAAGTCTTGGTTTCTTAGATTGCAACTAACTTGACTTTCAAGCTTATGCGTTGGACTTTTGACTACGAAGGATCTACGGAATGTCTGACCAAAACGATGGTCTTTTCCACTGTGTCCATAGTACTGCCATCCGAATCAGGCATACCAGAGGGCTGCTCAAAGAGAAATTCCTCGCATGGAAGCCTTTACTGTCGATTTCCCATAAAGCTCTGGAGCCAAGTGCACTGTACTCCTGAGAAAGACTTTTGTTGATTTGCTATTAAACTAAGTAAGTGCAAGACTATAATCTCATTTGTAAGTGTGCTTTTACAGTTTACCACTGGTTTTGTAATTGCCAGTCTTCTAGATATGAAGTGGATATACTTCATTGCTATGAGTACTCTCAATATTTGTCTGAATACCCAGCCAAACTCTCCCGAAGGGGCAAATGTTGCAATGGAATTTTGTATTCTGATTCACTAATATTGACGACTACAATGACGACTCAGATTAGGCCGCACGAAATTTTGCATGGAAACGCGACCTTACTAGGGGGACCCTCTGAACAGCTATTTCGTGCATTTTAGGGGTTTGAACTTGATTTTGGAAAGGCGACGCCCCAAAGTTTTGTTTCGAGGGTGCGACTGCCCCTCTGTGCCGCCGCCACTGCGATTGTGAATGGGTAATAACGCCAACTACATACATTACTCATATTTATTTCACTAATATCACTTTTTCAAACAGGAACATACGAGTACGAGGTGTAATAATATAGAGTACGAATACAAAAACCTCTTATATCATATTCAAAACGATGCGACCTTTAGCACCATGCCCGTTTGCCATTAACCGATGAGCCTCACTGGCCTCTTTCAGTGGAAACTCTTTCCATATCAATGGTCTTAACCAACCTTTCTGAATTCCGTCATTGATGGCTGCACCTATATCTCTCCGTTCCGCCTAGGCAGACAATGAAAACAACATGTCGGAAATAATATACTGTAAACTACCCCCATGTTTCCATGCTCTGGTAACCTTCTCTTATTAACTTGTAGATCACGTCGATATATTATTATTATCTTTTATTTCAGGACAAGATCATATAAAGAGTTAGACGCATATATATACGCAATGAGAGGCAGTAATTATCAAAATCTAATGCACGCATTATGTAATTGTTATACACTATATACCCTGACGCAAATGGCCTCTCATATCTCGCCGTGAACGAAAAGCCGCGAGATTTTGCCGCAAAAATAGTGTACTATTATGTCCCATCATCGCCAACCGAAGACGACAGAATTATGCTCAATAAAAATTGAGTCAAAAATATGAAGTACTGCTAGAAATAACCAAAATAAGCTATTATTACAATTGCTATGGTAACATATAAATAGGCGTTGTTGGTATAGTTTATGGTGAATGAATTGAATATTTTATCAAACAAGCCTTATCTGATTAAAACAATGTACTACTGTGATCATTCTATAGACATTATTTATTCCAACTATTTCAATAAAGTTTGTAATACTATTTATTGTAAAGGTAAGTATTCCAGCTAAAGGACAACATATCTATTCCTTCCTTCAATTCATATTACGCCATTTAGATTTCAACGGTCGTCGCTAAATGGCGCCACACATTTCCAAGGTGTGTTCCGTTATATATAAAATCTGAAAATGCAATCTTTCATGGAAAATACCTACCTTTTTCAAAATAATAAAATTTCAAAACTCTTTTGAAGATTACCACTTTTAGAGATATTATATACTCTAAACTGATTCTACAGAGACCCTCTTTCAGTAATTTAAAAATTGGTACTATATTATTCACCCAAACTAATCAATAGCAGTTCGTCATTTAACACATGTGACCTACAATATCTACCATATCGCAATTACAAAATGATAGAGCATTTCGCGATGTGTTGCCAGGTTGCACAATGAAGTACGCTTTGTGATTGGCGAAGTTGTGTTCGATTCAGTCAAAACAATTCACTGTGATTTGGATTTGTGATATGGTCTCTACTCATTTTCATAAGATATTTCAGGCTTACCGTTTATGAATAAAAATTATGTTAAATTATTTAAAAATAAATCTAATTTTTCTCCGTAAAATCCAGAAACTCGAATACTCCGAATACGTTGTGATTACTTTCCCTAGATGCCTAGCTGTAGTTCTGTAGTTCATGACGGATGAAATAGCCGTATCGGTGATAAAATAAACACGATATACTATTGTAATATTTTAGCTAACAATGCATTGTTACAAATAAAATTAAATCAACATGCTATTTTATTGTATTATCGATATCAAGGTGTGAAGTACCCAAAATGTTCATGAAAAGTTTTATTTGAGTATTTGAGTATGTACTTCTAATGCATTATTTACGTAGCACCGCACACCCATATGTTCAAAACGCATTGTCATATTATTTCTAAAAGAACTATTTGCGAATATTTGATGTTTCTGGATTATTATTGTCTATGTAATATGCATTTACACACATAGTATTAAGTTATAAATGAGCCTGACTTACTGTAGTAGAATTCGGCAGCATTACTCCGAGTATTTTAGCTTCTTTCAGCATAATGTCTCTGGGATTGATAGCTATGTTACCGTATCTACCAACCACCTAAACATGTACAGAAATAAATGCAATTAGCATTTATTAAAGAATAAAATATGTTAATTTGTTTTTCACAACAATTGATGGACATTGAAATAGTTTGTATAAGTTAGCAGGGCGATGGAAATCGGAAGCTTTCGTCCGAACTATCGCTTCAACCTGAGAAGTAATTCAACTTTCGATTCAATCATTATTAGTCAGGTTGGGGTATTCTGTTGCGCTGATCACGTCATCAACTTGCAGACGCTTTCGTAGTTGATCCACGACGTGCACATTCAACACAGCTCAGAATACAACAACTAATACCAAAGCAAGCGATTATAACCTTGTCGGGAATTTCATAGAATACCCACACACAAGTGAATTGAATGACCAATTTCACAATGTACTATGACAACACTATCGCGTGGCATTAACAAGTAGTTTATTGACCTACCACTAGTCTGCCACCATTAGACAATATATCTAAATCTGTTACGAGATGTAAATGGGCGTTCATTTCCATTATTGCATCAACGCCTTTGCCATCGGTCAATTCCTGGAACATAAAAATGCAATATGCATGTTATTATAATTAACCGAAAACAGGAAAAAAGTGCAAACACTTAGCTGAGCCAAGCATCACCTTTATCTTTCCCATGTATCCATCCTCACGATGATTGAAAACATAGTGAGCTCCTTGTTTCTTCACAATTTCCATGCCCTCTGCTGTTCCCGCTGTACCAATTACTTGCATACCATGGGCACGTGCAATCTGCACGAACGCTATCCTCTATA